CTTACTAGTTATTCCCAAATTGCTGCACAAACGAGATCCGTAACTAAGTTCGAACTTAAATAAATATGGTTGTGAAAAACGTTTTTTTGTTTTTAACGTAATTGGTGAGTTGGTTTTACGATTATCAGTACTATCTACAACTTTTGTTATATTGAGATCCGTTATATTAGGAACCGCAGTGTGAATTATATGATTGTGAAAACATTTAATATTCAATCAGAAGAAAGAGAAAAAATGTAATATGTTCTATGTTTGATGGTTAAACTAGATTACTAGCATGTTCGTAGCTAGATTAAGTAGTACCTAGTAAGAATGTCCACAATTATATTTGAATACGATTATTGTTTGTAGTTAGTCGTATAATCGAATTTACTTTAAAAAAAATATTTCAAAACGCATCAAATATCATGAATGCACTTCACCTTCCCAAACCGTAAGTGATGCTAAATTTGGAAAAGGGTAAAGTAAAATTTTATAAATCTTCAGTAAATTTTTGAAGTATGTATTCTTAAATGTTTACGGGGAAGATATCTAACTTTTATACGATCTACGTTTACACACGTAGGATTGGTCGTACGTATCTACACATACGCTTGATAGTTGATTTGTAGGGGTCGGATTTCACCCCCTATGAGATTGATATGGCGATGAAATCAATTCCGCAATGTTCGACGAAATCTAAACAAGTCTACAAAGGCCCAGTCTGAATCTAGACCCAAAATGACATTAAACCCATAAGCAAAATAGACTTACTGAAATAATGAGCTTAAATTATATATATGGTTTAATGGGTCAAGTCCATTTTATTAGCTGGTCCATTTTATCTAGAAATCCTATATATAGCTCATTGTACTCACCCAAAAAAGAGATCGGAAATTCATTAGACAAACTCTTGTATTCTGAAACAGTTTTCTAATAGCTTAAATAAAAATCTCCCTTGAGATCTTTGCGTTTGGCGGCTTTCCGCAGAACTTTACAAACCATGAAGAGTTACTTAGATCGTGATTGTGAGATTCGACCGCCACAATCACGACCGCCACGTTGGGGTCAGATTTCACCCCTACGAGATCGATATGGCGACGAGATCAACTCCACAACGTCTTGACGAAATCAAAGCAAGTCTACAAAGGCTCAGTCTAAATCTATGTCCAAAATGACATTAAACTCATAAACAAAATGGACTTAATGGAATTATGGACCTAAATTAGATATATTGCTTAATGGGCCTAAATTAGATATATTGCTTAATGGGCCAAACCCATTTTATTAGTTGGTCTATTTTACCTAGAAATCTTATATATAGCTCATTGTATTCACCCAAAAGGGAATCGAGAAATTATTTGACAAACTCTTGTATTCTGAAACAACTTTCTAACATCTTAATAAAAACCTCTCTTGAGATCTTTACGTTTGGTAGCTTTCCGCAGAACTTTACAAACCCTGAAGGGTTACTTAGATCGTGATTGTGAGATTCGACCCCCACAATATGTAGATGATTGGTTCGGCTGTAGCTTTAAATTAATTGCCGTATAATTTGGTATGTAGATGTTTTTGCTGTAGTTTTAAGATTAAAGTATGATTGGTAAATATTAGATGTATGTTGTAGAATAATTTTTTGTGAGATAAAATTTGAAAATAAA